CCAAAAGGTCATTTTGTGTTTTGTATACAAATTTTTTTTCGTTTTAAAAAACGCGTTTTTGAAAATAGAAAAGAGAACACGTTTTCACTATTTTGAAAAATCGAAAATAGAAAACGACCCAAAACGACCAAAGAGAACTACCCCTTCGTTTTTCATAGTTATTTATTTAATAAGTGGATAAGAGCATATTTTAAATTGAAATCATGGGGAGTCGAGAAATAGAACTGACTACTCTAAGTCAAAGGATAGAGCTGAAGTTGGTGCTTTGTATGGATCTCGGTCAGTAGATCAATGTATGGTTACAATAGTTATTGGATTCTCTTCACCAAGGGTTGGATCATAAGTTCCTTCCGAACTTTGTATTTGATACTATGCTTTCAAATTAAAAGTCGTTCTGAAATTTTTTGTTGAAAAAATAGGAGATATGAATTGAAGAATTTTGTTTTTCTGTAATTAAGATTGCTTATTTAATTCATATTTACATGAATAATTACTAAGAGAATGTTTGGGATAAATTAAAATTCAATTAAAATTGAAAATATAGCCATTATTCGGTTCCACTCGTCTAATAAAAGTCAACAATAACAGCTAATTTTTCAATTTTAATCTAATTTTAATATCTACCACACACACTCTAAATAGAACGAGTGACCCGAACCAAATTCAGTCAAAAGCAACAATTTTATCAAGAAAAAAGAATTTGAAAAATCCAGGTTCAAGCAAATAAAATAAAATATAAAAAAATTAAGAAGAAACATATTATGAAAAAAAGGTGGAAAAAATATTTCTCATTAATTTCATTATATCTTAATGGGCTAAATGCAAAGAATAATGTTATTCATAGTAAGGACAATCAGTAATTGTCTTATGTTGTATACATGTGACATTTTATTATTTGATGTTAAGGTTAGCACATTAATTCATCAAATAATAAATTCTCATATATATGTCACGTAGGACGACTACTAGTAATTCCCATTATAAATATCATTAAGGTTGTGTTTGATAGCCTAGAAAATTGGGTGGAAAAAGAAAATGTTTTCCGACTTCACCCAATTAATGG